TGAAAGACTTCACCAATCGAACATGCGGCTTCCTTCCCTACGTATGAAAGGAACCTCTGTCACTGGTCATGTTGGTCGCAAGCCAAATCCCTTTGTCCACATCTTGACCTGCAGAGTCGAAACTCATCCCAAACACCACCCACACTTTTCGCCATCGGGACGAAGAGCACGTCATATGGTGTCATATGACGCTTTATGACGTCGTTTGTGACATCTCATGACGTCATATGACGCAGTCCTTCTTGTCATATGACGCCTTATGACGTAGGATATGACATCATATGACAGTGATATGACATCATATGACGTGATATGACATGATATGACGTGATATGACATAATATGACGCCTTATGACGTCATATGACATCATATGACATGTTGTCCTGTGTGGTCTTACTTTAAACAGCTGTCGACCGGCTTCGCTAGATTGAAACTTGACCTGCGTAGCTTCGTCGGCAGACCTCCTTTTCGGCCCAAGGCGCAGGGTAGGACCGACCTGCGCGACATGAAGCGGCCCGCTGCGGTCGCACGCGAAGATTACACAACCGCCAAAGTCGCCAAGCTCTCCTCTAGGGATGAGCTGGGGCAGTTCCTGTTTCGACAGTCGACGGAGGAAACAGAACGGCGCCTGGCTCTGCTGACGGCGGCTCAGCGCAACGTGGTCTCCAAAATGTTTGAGCGGGCTCGCCAACATGAAGGCCAGGACCACGAAGTGCACCTCAAGGGCGCTGGCGCCAACAAGCGCAAAGCGGACCTGATGGTGGCTTGGCTGTCCGGCGGCTTTGGTCCTGCGTATGCCCAACTCACCGCCAAAATAATGCTGACCAAGGCCAAGACCACCGAAAGTGAGTGGATCGCTCTTCACTCGGCCAAGAAAGTATATGGCAAGGCAGAGCTCAAGGCACGCCTGACCAAAGGCACGTTGCAGTGGCGCCGTGACCCGGATGATGACCGGTTTTACCAAGTGCGTCAGCGCAAAGAGAAAGAGTCCACGGGCGAAACCAAGGTGAAGGAAATCTCTTTGGCTGCCACCATCAAAGGGAAAAAAGGCCCCGAGGCACTCTGGCAGGCGTTGGACAGCGAGGAACAGCTTGGCTGGTCCGCTTGGTCAGCGCCTGCTGCCGGCAAGTCGTCGCGTGTCCCTGACAAGTCTGCCGGCCCGCTGGCCTTGTTGGATGAAGAGCCTGTTGAGTCAGACTCCAAGGCCGGTCCTGAGTCCGCTGAGGAAGAGGCACTGTCTGAGTCTGACGCCGAGCTGCCCGACACGCCCCAGAGCTCTGCCCTTAAGCGGCCCAGCGCCGGCCAGCTGGCGCTGACAGACGCTGCGTTGGATGATGTGAGCACGAGCACGCAGTCCTGCAAGAGGGCCGACCTCGTGAAGCGCGCCCAGAAAGTGCAGGACCTGAACGTGGCAGCGCGGCGCGAGGGCGCCAGCCTTTCCAAGTCGAAACTGCCTGCCAAAGTCAAGGCAGAGGTGGCTGCCGCTTGCACTGCCCTGAAAAAGTCTGCCTGTCTCCTGGAGTCTGTGTTGGCCAACAACAAGCCGTTGGTCGAAGACTTGAAGAAGGCGCTGACTGACGCGGTGGGTGCTCTGACCACCTGGCGGTCCACCCGCGCTCGTGCCCGCAAGGCTGCAGGTTAAGCCCACAAAGATCAACCCCGGGCGAACTCCCGGCGCATCGCAATTCTTCAGTCTCCAGAGCCGCATCCATAGAGTTGCCAAGATCATCGATATCCTCACTAGGCCTGACTGCGCGAAGATAAAAAAAAAGATCGCACGCTATCTTTCGCACGCTGTCTGCAGCTTGGCATAGCATTTATTTTCCCGAATTAATCGCCACAAACTGCTCTTTGCGATGGCCCTTGTTGTCTCAAGGAAATCAACTAATAAACAAAAACGCTGTAGGAAACACAGAGCACGCCATGATAATGCGCTCGCCCTCCTTGCCCCTCGAAGCAGCATGGCTCAAGCCACCCCCCACGGCGCCGGCCAAGGCCCTGGCTCCGCACGTCTGCGCGGCCGAAAGCGCACGGTGGAGGAGAAAGAGTTAGACGCCCTTGCCACCGAGCACAGTCCCCTATGGATTTGTCTGATGGAGCTTTGGGCTTGGGGAGTCTTGTCAGCGCCCATGCTCCAAAAGCTGGCGACAGCGGCCGTGGCGAGCGGATGCTCAGCTTCCGACCTGGCTCAGGTGGCCGGCCTGGGCCACGCTGGCGCACATCAAGGTAATATTCATCGTGACCTGCTGCGCTGCTACGTGCCGCAGTGGGCCACCCCCCGCCCACACACAGTCCTTTGCGAGACGATTGTCCGCAACGGCGACGGAGAGTCAATGGCTGTGACTGAGCAGGCCGCATTGCTGCCGTCCGATTGGGTCCGCGTGCTACACGAGAGAGGCCTGGCCGATGACCTCCTGGGAACGCGGCAGCAGCGAGAGGCATTTTGGGCCAGCCAAGCTGATTCGCCAAAAATGTGTGGGGTCGGCTACTACCACCTGGACTTTGAGCCTGGAGACACTGTGCCGCTGCTCCTGTTTTCGGACGGGGCACGGCGCGCGGAACAGGACAGCATCACCACGGCTTCGTTTCGTTCGCTGTTGGCCCACGACCTGGATGTAGCGCAAAGCATGTTTATGCTGTGCGCAGTGCCCAAATCGGCAACTGTGAAACACAAAACCTGGGAAGCGATCTGGCAGGTCCTGACAGCTGACTTGAACTGCTTGGCACAAGGTCGTGGCCTGGATGGGCAACCGACGCCGCTGAAAGCCGTTGTGTGGGTGGTCGCAGGCGACTACGAGCACATGGTCCTGGAATACGGCCTCCCGCACTGGGCGTCCTTCAAATGCTTCTGGTGTTCTGCAGAAAAAGACCACTTCTTCGACTTCCCAACCATTCCCAGCAGCGCCTACTCGCCCGAAGACATGTTAGACCAGCCCCCGCTAACCCACCCCCTTGCGGGTTTGACCACATACTCGCCGGCGCTCTTCGCGATCGACACGTTGCACTGTGTCGACCTTGGTGTCGCCGAGCACGTGTATGGCAACCTGCTGTGGGAGTTGACGGAATCCTGGCCAGGAACAAAACAACATCGCCTCGCCCGTCTGAACAAGGAACTGCGGGAGGCGTATAGCGCATGCGGGGTAGCTCCATGCCGAGTCCTACGGCGCGAGGACTTCCAACCTCCTCCGGGAGGGTACCCGCGCTTACGCCACCTGAAAGCGGCCGTCGTCCGACACATGGCGCCGGCGGCGGCGCACCTTGCGCGCCGCTATGGCCGGGGCGGCCCCAGCTGCAAGAAACGCGCGGAGGCGGTCAGCTTGTTACGTGATCTATACACAGCCATTGAAGACCGAACGCATTACAAATGGCGCAAGAAAGTGCATGAACAGTTCGTGTCAGACCTGCAAAAATTCATGCGGGTGTACACCGAACTAGGAATCCTGCACGGCCCTGGTCGTTGGCACAAGGTGTTCAAGTTCCACATGCTCTGCCACTTGCCGAGCCAAGGAAAATGCTTGGCTCCGCGATTCGCATGGACGTATGCCGGGGAAACGTTCATGTCTCTGGCAACCCAATTGGCGGCATCTTCAGTCCGGGGAACACCCCCACGACTCCTTGGCCCGAAGATTACTCAAAAGTATCGCGCGGCCATGCACCTCATGCTAGCAGGAATAATCCCGCTGCGTACTCACCTACTGGACGAGCCTGCCCAGGACTAGCTGTGATCAGCTGCATGTGTAAATAGCGGCCCAATAACTGTCGCGCCGTGGAAAACTACATGCCTTTTCCAAAGGTCCCGCGCTTGAATCTCCTGAATTCGCGATTGATTTTAGCACTACTGACGTGGCAAACTGCGATTGAATTTCCCTAGCAAACGGACATCGTTTCGGTATCGATTTTTCGATCTCGCGATTGATTTTGTTTCCATTTTTTGTCTGCGATTGATTTTCAACGGCGCGATTGATTTTTTTCAATATCGGATGCTTTGGGCGCCTGCAATGCTCAACTTGCAAAAGTGTCGTTTCGCACAAAAACTGCCGTCTCGATGGCAAACATTGTTTTTAAACCAAACAGCAGAAACATGTACCCGCCGTGAAGCCACAGGTATGTCTAGTCTCTAGTGTTTGCGTGCGATCTTTCTCGTGCGAGTGTTCGGCCGAGTTTGCTCGCGCAAATGTCCTCATGAGAGCTTGCTCGCGCAAGCGTGCTCGTGCAACTGCGCTCCTGCAAGTCGCTTGTGCGAGCTTGCTCGCACAAGTGTGCTCGCGCAAGCATGCTCGTGAAAGTTTGCTCGTACAAGTGTGCTTGCGCAAGTGCGCCTGTGCAAGATTGCTCCTGCAAGTATGCCGCGCGGGCAAATGGGCTCGCGCAAGTGTGCTCGTGCAAACTTGCTCGTGCAATTGAGCTTGAGCGAGTTGAGAAACTTGCATAGAGAACTTGGGTAGACCAACTTGAGCCGAGAACTCGCGCAGAGAAGCTTGCGCAGAGAACTTGCACAGAGCGCTTGGAGCAGAGAAAATAGAGGCGAGCACTTGCGCAGAGAAACTGTCACAAATAACTTGCACAGACAGCTTGCGCAGAGAAGCTTGAGTCGAGCACTTTCATAGACAAGCCGGGTGGAGAAATATGAGCTGAGAACTTAACCAAATAACTTACGCAAAGGAGCTTGAGAGCAGATCTTGCTCAGCGAAAACTTGCAGAATGAACTTGCGCAGAGACCACCAGCGCAAAGAACATGCCGCGCTCACAATATTTGTTTCTCTTTCGGGCCACCCGTTCTTATAGTGTTTATTAGTCTGCCTTGCAACATGCACACACACACACAACCGCCCAAGCATGCAGGGGAAGGGGGGAACGTATCCACAGTGACACAGCCCTCTGGGCTACGGATATGTGTCAAAATGGGTAGGCACCCGCCAAATGGTTGCTTTTGCTAGACCAACCTAAATGGGGCACCCTCAGCCCACAGCTCTGGGACTCGACATGGCGACATGGCGCGGACCACTCGTGGCCAACGTCGCTCTCGCTAGTGGAGCTGCTGCTGACCTCATCCTCGTCCCATTCCTCGACGCCCCTGAGTAGCCTGGACCTGGGTCGCTATAGAAATCGGGTGTCCCCTTGTCTGGGTGGGTTTTGACCGAGAAACCAAGAGGACACCAAGAGGAACACCACTAGAATGGTTGGTTTTCGTTTGGTTTCCATGCAAATACCAAACTAAAAAGCGAGTCCGCCATTTACACAAGCACTGTTTTGAGTAAGTCTCAAAATGGGGAACCCCATTTCGCTTTGACGACCCTTCTAAGCGCAAACACCTACTTGTTTTGACCCAAATTGCATCGTGGAGCACTCAAGGCTTGGGACATCTGAGTTGTGCCTGATGTGCACTGACCTAAAATTGGAGATCGAAGAAAAGGACCCTCTTCAACATATGTCAAATACACCCTTGGCAAATTACATGGACCCTACAACACCAAAGTGTGTCTGTGTAGATGAGTTTCTTTCCGGAATCAACTCTAAATAGGTGATTCTACTAAAGCAGTCTGGGTTCCAAGTCGGCCGCTGAAGGCTACTGGCGCTTGCCTCTTCAAAGGCAACACACGGCTGCAGTCAAAGGCAAACAACACCTGTGGGACATCGATTGAAGCAAGGATGTTTAGCTAGTCATGGCGCAAATCATGAGTAGTGAACGTCCTCGTGGCCTCTCTTCTGCAAGCAAGACATACACGCTCTTCTCCTACAAACAAAAACATGGGCATTCCGGAATGTCACAAAACGTGTGCAAAACGACTCTTTCTTTGGGCGGTAACATCTACAAGAAAACAAACAATCACCTCCGATCGCTTCTTGACAGGAGAAGAATCCAAAGCAATGTTCGGAGATAACCAAAACAGGGTCTTGCAAAGGCTCCAATCAGCGTGTGTTTTTGTCAAAGTAAATGAATTGAATGGGTAGACCCAGGAACCTTTGCGTAAAATCTGTCTACGAAACCTGCTCGAAACCAACTCCTGAACATTTGTGGCGCAGCCAAGTGGGGATTCTTAAAAGTATGCGCCGGTTTTTGGACCCTGGTGCCGCCTCCACATTTAAGTGGGTACCCACTTCGGCGTTTCCAACCCAAATTTTGACAATCCCCCAAAAGACCACTTTGCATCGTGGCGCTTTTGCTTCAGCTGCATCTCATGGTTCTTGTGCAGCCGCCTTTCCGCCTCCTGCTCGAAGCCCCAGGTCAACATGGAGGCGGGAATGGCGAACTGCGCCTCAAGTCACTGCGACATTGGCCGCAACAAATGCTCACACTCCTGAAAATATGGGATCGACTACAGCACATGGATTCAAAGTGAATATGCTACGTGGTTGTCTTACAAAGACTATTGGCTCAATTTCGAAGAGGTTAATTAACTAAGACAGGACAAGAGGAACAAAGGTAAAAGCATGAATCTTGCCCACAAGAGATCCCCTCCTGCAACTTCGCAACAGGTATCCTTTTCGCTCTCAGTTTCAGTGCTTCCCTCCAAGAACATGCAACTAAAAAAATACCGAAAAAGGCCACGTGACCCATTTCCCCGAAACGGGACGCGTCCGGGGCCCGAGCCGTGGCCAGCACGGCGGTGACCACGACGATGACTTTGGTGTACCACGGCAGCTGCCCCACCGGCTGGCCCTGGCCCGTGAGCATCATGACCTCGGGCACGGGTGGGGGAAAGGAATCCCAGCAGTTTCAGGGGCCATGTGGCTGTGGGTCAAAAAATGGTACCCCAAATAGAACCCTGGCAAGTGGAAACATGGACCAAAACCTGTGGTCCCCTGGTGGTTTGATTTTGATCCATGCTCATGTTGGTGCCACCAGTTCCTTGTGCAGCTTGGTGTCCCGAATTTGCTGTGAACAGTTGTCATTTAAAGCCTTTGGGAGGATGATACTGGGTTACCATTTAGGTCCTCCAGTAGAAAGCTTCAAATAAGGGTACCAACTTTTTGTTCTGTCTATTTTAGTGGCGGACACTCCCCCAAAAGAAAAGTAAGGGCACTACTGGGGGACCTAGGAAAGATTTATGGCAGGATATCTCACAACTCGGTATCTCTTGGTAGTTCTTGAAGACAATCATAGTTTGAGGCTCGCTCTTGCCCCAAGAGCTCGCCAAAATCAGTGTACACACAAGTTTGATTCACGAGAATTTGACAAGCTGATGCATTTCACACGAATTGTTCACTATTAAACTAGCTGCCGCACCAATAAACTTGAGAGGCGGGTGAACGAAAGCTGGCCAGCCCAACTCAGGGCTGGCCAAGATATTCACAATAGCAATCTTGCATGAGCATCCAGAAAGTCATCAAGCCCCAAACATGTGGGAAGATGCTCGTGCGGGGCGGGGGGGGGGGGGGGCGGGGCGGGCCACTTCACGTCGTGAACAGGCTGTTTTTGCCACCGGTCATCATGCACCAAATGTGGACTGCTGTCGATGGACACTACCTAATAGCTGCAATGCGACACCGCCAGGTACTAACAACTCCCATTGCAAACCTGAACCTGAACTGCCTCTATTGAAGCAGAACTTATTCTGGGAAGTGTGGAAAGAACAAATCAAGCTTCCAACCATTCCCCACAAGACTTCGAAGGTTGCTAACATTCCATTATGCCCGCTTTGCCTACAGAAAACCAGCAAGGTCATTAAACCAAAATGGGTTGTTGGGGTGGGCCCATGGCTAGATGGTTTAGATTGCCAGATGGTCCATGATGACAGACACGCTAGCACAAAGATTGTGGCAGCAAAGCCCCAAAAGTGAAAACAGAGAAGCCCTGCATTAGAGAAAGCGCAAAAAAAAAGGAAAAGTGAAGCCCATCCCCTTCAAAGAGAGTGTCCCAATTGTGAAGCATGCCAAACCAAGCAAGGCTGGACTGCAAAGCCTGAAAGGCATTCTTCCAAGGCACCGAGAGGTACATGGTGGCAGGGATGGACTCGAAATCGTCCTCCAGACCGGGGGTATCGGGAGGTGGCGCCAGGTAGTAGAGAACCGTGGACATGAGCAGGATGAGAATGACATCGATCCTTGTGACGCAAAACGGCTCAAATACTTCAAACAACTAAGTATTCAGTATACAGGTGCATCAACTCATGCCATAAGTGGTGTTGTGAACATTGTCTGTCTGCAGTTGGCACAATGGCAGTACAGGCAGCACAAGATAATCATGATTGAACACGCAAATATATCATAAGTGTATGTTGCCTTGGCAGGTGTCTTGGCCAATTGAATCCCCACGGGCAACAAAGTCACGAAAACAAAAACAACGCCTTGCTCAGACTCCCCTCTTTGATCGATAATCCTGGAGATGCTTCAGACAGGTTCCAGCTGGCGAACAGTGGCAGTTTCAATTGCTTGGATTCTGATTTAAGCATCTGACAAAAGAGACCCGAGCTGCTCAAATCTATGAAGCGACTTCCACCTCTCCGGCAAGAAACTCCCAAAACCATCCAAATCCCGACCAGGACTCTACCCCAACACTCCGACACCAACTAACTAAAACCTCAAGACCCAATGATCAACGTTTCTTAGTTCGTGGAACTCCACGTCCGCGAAGCCTACCTCTCGGTCCGCGTAGCCTCGCGCCTTCGGAAAGAAAATACGGCCAGCCACGGATTCACAGCTTCTACGAAGCCATTTGCTCGGCTCAAATGTCCATTGCCCAGTTGCGTGTCATGGAAGGCAAAGGGCTTTCCGTTGGAGCTTCACCAAAAGCAACAGGTCGCAAAAATCACGCAAAAGGGGGCACACCGCATGTGGATCAAACACCACCCCCCACACTTCTCCGAGCGAGCAGCATGAAGGCCACAGCCAAAATCTCGCTGTTGAAATAGAGCACCCGAGCGATCACGTCCACAGAGGCCATAACCTCGCAATCGCAAATTCTGAAAGCCAGCAAGTTCCGGGGGGCAAAGAGTTTCAGTGAACACTCTGTGGCGATTAGACATGTTTTCTCGGGATATCTTGGCCGTTGCCACAGAAACTCAAAGCGGCTGTCCGGTGCAAAGATCGGAAACGCTCGGAGCTTTGACCTGGGTCCAGGTAACTCGCAGGGCCTCAGAAGTCTACATCCACTTACCCAGTGACCTCTGCATCTTGAGGTAACTGGAAAGACACAAATCAGGCGTGTGCCACATGACGGGCACTTCGAACATGGATCATGTGAGAAAAGAACGGTTGGACACCGTCAGCTGAAACAGCACCGCTCACCCACTGTAACATAAGCTCTGGCCAAGCGTGCTTCTCAAAATTACGGCTGCCTAAACTGGCTGGTTTCCTCCTGGTGTTCCCTTGAACTACCAACCAAAAGGGGTCCACCATTTGAATTTGAGAAAGCACCACATGGGCCATATTCAGATCCATCCCTCGTGGCCTTCTGGTGACATCAGTCTACGTGACCCCATCGCCTTTGAGAATTCCCGAAATATGTCCCGAAAAAGAATCGCCCCTACCAAGGGAATCTCACTTAAAATGGGCCAAACGATGTTCAAAACCAGCAAGGGAAACGTGGGGGCCTATTCCTGATTCCCCCGGCAGAATCAACCGCTCAAACGCGTGGCGCGCCACGGAATTGGACTTGAAGAGGCGGAAGAGCCGAACCACCCGCAGGAACTGGAGATTCGGCAGCTTGTAGGGCAGCAAATGCTCGATGAACCACGGCATGAAGGACACCAGGTCGATAATTGAGGTCGGGGTGCACAAAAATCGGATTTTAGCTTCGCATCGAGACAAGTGCATGTAGCGCTTGTTCCTTAGTCCAAACTGCCAGCCCCCGCAGAGCCCACGCACGCTGAACGAGGACATGGCTGCAAAGGGAATATCAAACAAACAAACTTGTCAACGCAAGCATGTCAAAGTCCTTCAACAATCTCACAATACACTAATTCATGAAGTGTTTGATATGCATACGGATGGACTGCACGTCAAAAAATGCTGTGATTAGAATAGACTGCATGATTGAAGGTGAGGCTCTCATGAATGGTGCAAATGCGCAGCATGTACTCCATCAGAAAGATCACGGACGACACCGCTTCCAAGAAATCGAAGAAGTCCCGGTAGCCCCGCTCCGTGCTATGATCCGTTTCGATGATAAAGCAGACCACATTGAACATGATGATCAGGCCAATGGTGTTCCGGAAGATCCTGAGCAAATGCCAGCTCAAGTTGAGAACATCTGTCTGAGTGGCCACTTTATGTTGTTCTTCTCAAGGTCAAGCAATAGCGCTGATAGAATTCGACAAGGCAGTATGACTTTGACCAATGCCATATATATATATATTTAATATATATATATATATATTGTCTGAGCATTTCCCAACACCTGACTCATGTTGCAAGGATAGTTGCATGCCGGTGTTTTAAACCATATATCTTAGGCCATGGTTTCTTGTCTGTCTGATGGATTGATACCTTAACTACCATGAGAACACTTCTGTCATTGAGCTGCACTTATGAAGCTTGCAAGCTTGATTGTTGTCAATGCAGGCCGCAGCTGTACCTGAGATTGTAAAGTCAGAAGCCAGGCACTCCAAAATCACAAGGTGAGAGAAGAATCAACGCAGCCTGGCTCTAGGGTAAAATGCACAGCAATGGTGCATAAGAAACATCTCTAATCGTGATTCTGCCTCAACAAGCTGCCACAACATGCTCGTTTACATGAACTTCATAGTTTCGCATTGCTAAATTTAGGCAACTAGTGAGAAGGGCTCTCATGATGGTCGATTCAAACTTTAAGACTACGAGTCTCAATGTCAATTCCATTTCAAGCACTCCTTGTGGTAGGCATGCCGTTTTCCCAATCCACGTCATAGTGTCATTGCCTCATAGTGCTTGGGGCAATCAGAGCACAGGCAATGAGATGTGTGCTGTCAACAGTATATATAAGACGTATGTGCATCCTGTGCTCACATGTTGTTTGAAAAAAAAAGTTTACACGTGCATAAATTGAAGCAGTGTGCAGTTGGGTCCATTCCATTCCCTCATGGCTTTCCAACATTTAGATGAACTGGGGGACCAGACCTTACATTGATTCATGGAAGGCCCCTGGCTGAAATGTAAAGCGGGGAAATGGAAGGCCCAAGCACGTAGCTTTCGTAAGAGCTCCCTCCGGCTTGGTGCCTCAAAGCCGGGTAGTATCCAAACTGAAGCCCTGGTCAATTGGAAACCGCAAATCCATCTGCACGATCCCACTCCATCACTCCAAGCAGCACCGCCGCCGTGCGGTGGCTATGCGCGCTGGTCAAGGAGTACCTCAGTGACGGTTGTAGAGCTGAGCGCGGTGCGCTCTCCGTGTGGACAGGCCAGCAAGGATGCCCCTAGTATCCTTCTCACACACGTAGCAAAAGCCATTGCTCAAGTTTGGACGAATCAACTGCAAGCCCGACTTTCTGGATTTCGGCCGTTCAGTCTGAACCGCGCCCAATTGGCAGCGTTTAATCCAACCTTGCGGGAATGCCTGCCCGCCCCGGCAGCCTAGTGCCAATTGCCCTAGGTGCAAGGCGCACTGGGCCCGGGCCTCTCAGAGGATTGCAATGAATATTATATATATATACATATATATGTACACTGAGCCAATGGTATTGCGAAAAAGCCGAAAGCAGCCATAGTATTTCAAGTACAACAGTGCACTTTGTCATGCATCAAAGCAAACGGCCTCTTTAGTCCAGGCCTCCTCCTTCCTCTATTGTTTAAAATGCCCTGGGTATCACCTTTGCCATTTCCCAAACCCGTGGTGCCAATCATCGCACACACACTCAGAACGAGTCCCGAGTTGCAGGAAGGTATGGCCTTTTCCTCCGCGGATTGCCCGCAGCCGTGCCCTCTCCTGCGAACCGGTCTGCAATCTCCGAAGCAGTGGTGTCTGAGACTCGTGACCATCTGCCCCACCTCACCTCCTTCTAGTAGGATCAGCTTCATCTCGATTGGCAAGTATCAGAAGCACTCAATCAGGTCGGCCAGAAATTTGCCTGTTGAATTGTCAGTACTGATGGATCTGAAAGCTGCTGCTTGCTGCTAGCTTGTGCACAAGTAAGAGGCTGGTACTGAGTTTTGCTTTCAGCCTTCAGGAGATTATTGATAACCGCCTGCCATACGTATGATTGCACGTGATTCATGTTGCTGTAGCTCCTTCTGTGTGTGTGTGCGTGTGTACAGCAGGCTCCGCAACTTAGGCGCACATGGGAAATATTCACTAGGGGTATTACAAATCACAAAACATTGGGTGACTCCGTACAGACAAGCCACCGGCAGAATCCAAGCCACGCAAACATTGTCTGAGTGGCTAAAGACAGACGAAACAAACCTGTAAGACAAAAAGCTTTCTGTCATCATCAACAACGTGTACAAGTGGTGACAGCCAAGCACACATGACGACTGTCGATGTGATAAACGGGTGACATAAACCAACGCTTTTGCTGAAAGTACAGGTAAAGTGGATTCAAAGTCAGTGAATGGATACGAAATCCATAAAACAACCAACAAGCGTGGGGGCGTGCAAGTTAGCTTCTCAACACACACACACACACATACACATTTTTCCAGGGAAAGTGCGGGACCCCTCAAAGATAACTTCGCTCTGCGCAGTCTGTTGGTTGCCTCCAGTTGTAATTTCGGCCAACGAGCACCCCAGTCCTTCCTAGCTTCAATGGTTCGCCGCGCCGACGCCGACTCATCCTGCGAAACGGTCCAGTGGCGCCCCGTGCTGAGCTCTGGGTATCAGACATAACGAGCTATGCAACATGACACCCTTAAGACAAGTTGGCGCATTGAATTCAAACTAAATTGGCGACTTGCACATAAGTTGTCCAATATCGTTGGTTGTTGCGGCGCTCAAACATGCCGTCCGGCATTGCAGCAAAGACACCATTTTGACAAGTGTGATTTGGCACAGCGATTGAAGTCACTAACAATATATGACAACTCACTTTCACTAAGATTGAAGTCACAGCCCCTTTCGGCCATGTGCGAAGCAATTGGCAAAAGCGATCGATTCATTCAGTGCCCACGGTGAACTGGTTGGAACACACATGGTATTCAAAGTCGAACAGTAGCTTGCAACCTGGGTCAAGTAACATCTTGAGAAACAACAGTACAGGCAAAAATAAAGTAACAAAGAGAAAGCGAAAGATATACAATAGCCGATCATCCACACAAGCCCGCCCAACGATGTTCACTGTGTTCAGCTCTCTACAAAACTCGATTGCAAAACAAAGAGGTACTGGTCAAAGGCGTACAAATGTGCGTACAAAAAACCTCGGCTGATCTTGGAACGTTTTGCTACCAAAAGCGCATCAGTAAGTAAAGCAAAACTAACGCACAGCATGGACCGCAAGCAAACCTACAGTTCAGGGTGCAAAAAACCAGTTAAAGTCACCATGGAATCGCAAGTTCCAAGTCGTCACACTCCCGCCATGGAACAGCAAGACCATGAGAGCCCAAGGCGTTCTTCAGGCGTAAGCTCATCCCCATGGAGTCGCAGCGATCATAGCTTTGCGTTGTGGGAGGTTGTGGCGTAAACGCAAAAACCGCAGGAATCCAAAACTGCAGCCTCCACCGAGGCATCAAAGCCCGGAATCGCCTCAAATCAAAAGATGCAGCCTCAACCGACGCAGCCAAGCCCAACGGAATCGCAGCGAATCTAGCAAATGCAGCCTCACCTGAATCAAAAAGCTCGCCCAAATCCTCATGTGATCGCAAGAAACAAGGTGACCTCCAAGAACAGCTCTCGCACTGGTATGGCATGTATGGCAACAAATTGAAAAATGGACTTTAACAGTTGCCTGTAAGCCCCTGGCACTACGGTAGAGAATAGGCTGAAGGAATACCGAAGGACACCAAACCGATTTGCTGTCCCGGGTTGTTTTTTGTTTCAAGATTTGGAGCAAGCCTGGTTGGCATGTTTTTGAGAACGCCGCGGCCTCATTGATCTTTACCATGGTGCCAGCTGCGCGCAGGATCTTTTTGCTCTGATCCTTAAGCTGCGCATTGGCCTGAGGCATCATGAATGATCGAATGGTTCTCACGGGGAAAGTTCATATGCCGTTCGAACGCGAGGATGCGTCACGCCATGCTTCAGGATACACTGGCCATCGGAAGTATGACAACTACAGCCGCTGCATGAGTTGTGGTCTTGGACTATCCAGCTCTCCTATCAAAGGCCTCCGAAGGAAACATATCATGCAACTTATGCAACACTTAAAGCAGAACACTATTCTTGTACAGCGACGCTCCCCCTTGGCTTGTGCCAATAGAACCTTCACACGGCAACAGGTTCTATAGCCGTGTCCAACACATCATGTTAGAAACTCGCGGAGTTGCTCGCAGAGCTGCTCGCGTCTAAGCTTGCACAAAACAAGATAGGTTCTGATGTACGTATCCCAAATATAACAGCTGGACAGTCATATATATATATAGGTGGGACCCCCCAAATTGATGTGGTTCCTTTTGGTTATCCTTTAAACCCATCACAAAGGGGGTACCCTCAAAAAAGACACCCATATCAGAATTGGTTGAGGTGCTTTTTTAAAATGAACAAACACATAATTCTGCTCAATGACAGCTGCACGTGAGAAAATTCACGGGCGGCGCATTGCAACATGTACGCATTCAGCCGGACGCCCAGCACGAATCGGCAATTCTCAACAGACCCTCCTTCGATTCAATCATTCCGTGATTGCTGAATCTGAAAACAACTTTCGCAACACCGCGGCCCTGCCTGGCAAGCTATCATATTTCACACCGGCACACATTAACATAACATGGCCAATCACGGCTAGAGCAATGCTGTTGCCCCATTCCCCGCGCAAGTGAGAATGCTACAGTCAACCCAAAGTCATATGGTGCGTTTCTCCAAATAGTGGTTCTGAAAAGGTTTGCTCCCTTCTAGTTTCCCCTGAAATCCCTGCCAAAGTGGGGTCCTTGATTTTGAGAAACGCTCATTCCAACGACTCCCGGCGGATTCGAGACACCTCATCTGACTTGTCCTTGAGCGCCTTCGGCGCTTTCTTCTTTGGTGACTTCTGCTTGCGGCTTGCCTCACGGGAAAGCGGGAATCACAGCGCAGGTGTCTCTGAAGCTCTGAGTTCGGACGGAAGTGTGTCCAAATCAAGTGAGCGCCCCAGGTTTCCAGTTTGCTAGCGGTCTCGATCAGCTTGAAATCCTGCAGGACAAACAATCTCAACCAAGACTGCCCTGTCAAGCCACTCTCACTTTCGGCCTCAATGTGGCGCATGCAAAGCCAATCGAATCGCAGAACTGTGAGATGTTTGTCTTCACACAGCGCTCGGACCAAACGCGATGACTTTCCAGTGCCTCAAGGCCACAGGAGTCCCGCCTCGCGCTCGCCGCTCTCGGGGTCTCGCAGAGCGCGGTAGGCAGTCACAAAATCGCTCGACATGGCGTGTTTGGAAACTCTCCTACAAATGTAGCAAGGTTCGACTGATCCAAGTGAGCTGTTTTTGCAAGAATCAAGGAGGTAAAAATGGCAAGCGATGGCAGTGATGACTTGTGGAAGCAAATCTTTGAGCCAATACGGCAATGACAAAGCCTGAAGCCTCATGCTGACATGTCTTAGGCATGGCTACATGCTGCAAGAAACCAGCGAGTCTACGCCACAGCGAGAAAGACGATGTGTCTGTGATTTATCAGCAAACCCTACAATTGTTTGCTTGAATTTCAGCATTGCAACTGCAATCACGTCCATCACCAACAAGATTCATCTGTGATGAGCAAAACCAAAGAAACAGTCAGGGCCAATGTAGAGCCGCATGACTTCCCAAATATAGTGAGAAACAAACAGGGGCAGAAAACATGCAACAACCATCCGCTGTTGTGCGTGAAATACAAAACATGAATGCTAAGTGCAGCTTCAGGCAGCGCACGCTACCTGCGTGCCACGAGCAAAAACTGTTGGCGGAATGATTGTTGGCAGGCAAGCTGGAAATCCGTATAGGACATCATGATTCTTTTTGCGCCGCGTCGTAAACACGTGTGCCAAAATCATGGTCCACTTTTGAGCCCGGGGGCGACCCCGTCGCCAAAACGGACCCGGATTTGGGGGAGCCTGACGCACCATTCCATGGGCACGTCAAAACCAGTTGGATCCATGGATGGTCCATGTAAAAGAAAGTATGTCCCTCCCTATGTGATCAATCACAAAAACTAGACATACCTGCAGCGCCGCGAATGCACAAAGGACGGGGTCGTTCAATGAAGGCAGGCTGAGGGACCCGCAAACTGTGACTTGTCAAGTCATATGAAAGGTGGCCTTGTCTTTTTAAATGCCTGGCTTCCCCTCCATTTCCTGCACGTGCGGAGGAAACAAAACAAAGCAGTGCGGAGCACACAACCATGACTACCCCTCCTCACCACACATGCCATCACCCAAAAGACATCTTCCGAGCACCGTGCTGCACATTTCGCCGCCCAGTTGTCAACTGGCATGGCAACATGGGAGATCTTCCTCAGATGCCCTCCCATTTCATCAATTTCATTGAGGTCTGATGGCGGACAATGTTCAACTAACCAGCAACAATCCTGGGTCTTAGAATCTTGACTGTTCAGGTAGCCTTGTAGCTTATGGACCCGCATCATTGATGACTGGCGCCTAGATTCTTTCACTTTCTGGCCCTACTTGAACCGCTCAGTGGCTGCGACGACGGACACGTGCCGGCGCCCAGCAACCCTCCCAAACCTGCTAGCTTGGAAGAAGATGAAACATATTCTGTGTGTGTGTGCGTGTCTGGCATCTCAGGATCAACCACTCTTCGGCGGAATTGCTGAACTCATGCATACCAACCAAAAACATGCACGCATTGCATACTAAGTGCTCATAGTAGCACCGTCAACCTACGCTGTCTCCGGATAACAAGCTCGGAAAACAACACCAACACAGAATCCAGTTTGCTTACAATTGGGACGGCAAAGTTGGCTGTGGCCATGAGTCGCCCCGCAAAACCTCTGACCTGCAAATTGTCAATGCCGTGGGGCCTCAATGAGTTTCAATCCCAGCGTGGGTCACTTGTCTCACCCAAATGCTGCCTTCGCCTTCGCAGTTCCTTGGCTAAAGGTGCCCAACGGAACCTCCAGACTAGCATATAGAACCATGGCTGGTAGCTTCCCAAAATGAAACTCGACAAAGCAACCAATCAAACGAGCGACCATGCAGAGAGAAAACCGAGCGGGAGAGCAAATCAGTGATGATCTGCTCGATGCACGGATTGGAAAGAACAGCTCAACCATGACCATGATAGAAAAAATACACGCTCATGGATGACGGACTGTGACGGCCAAAACAAAACCACCAGACACCAGACAATACTTGCTTGCACGCACGTGCGCTGATCCGGCTGTGCACACACACACACACAAAACATATAACAACATAATATTTGGCAAAAACGGTTGAAGCATGCAATCTCTCATCCCTTGCTGCCAGCTATCAATTATTCTATGCACTCGACATCTTCAACACGGCAATCATGAACAATAGCGGCGATCTTTGAATACACAACACGCACGAAACGCAAGTACTAGAAATTCAAGCTACACGTCACGGATGGTCCGCGTTTTCAAACCGGACATCGGCCGTTTGCCGCACACTCAATAAGCTTCGAGGGTGGGTCGGCGATCCGTGCAGGAAGCCAAGCAATCAGAGCATACTTTGAAGCCACAAGGCATCGGGTTTCTCAAAGTCGACCTTTTGGTTGGACGGGACACCGAAAGGAAGCGTGTTTTTTTTGGGGGACTTGAAGAAGCCCCCATGGTTTCGATAAGCAAACAGAACACCCTAGCCCTCCTTTCATGTCCGAAGCCAAAAAATGATTCGGGTGGCCTGAAACTTGCACTGACCCTCACATGGCATTTGTAAGCTCACATGGTGACGCAATATGCCATTCATGCCTCAATAACATCAGATTATATATATATATATATATATTATGTGTATATATATATATTATGTGTATATATATATATATATATGCTATCATGCAAGACCGAAGTATAATAGGGAGCTCTGGAACCGGCAGGTATGTCCCAAGGCAACAAAACATCCGTCAGTGCTGATTCAGAACCCATCCCACGGAAGTCATCCCACTTTTGTGCCGCTGACTGGCAACAAAACGCTGTTCGAGACATTTAATGCATGTTTTCATTTGCCACAGAATGCAACAGAAACGGAGCTCAAGTGCCAAACTCGTGCTGCAAGCGATAGTCATCTGGCCTGCCACTTTCACGCCCTCAACCACGCCCCCTGTGAAACTCATCCCACACTTTGCAGCCTTTATGTTGCGCCCCGCGCGAGAACAAATACGCACCACAGGCCGAACATTGGGCAAGTGCCAAGACGCCGCTGCCAAACAAAGGGGCTTGCCTTGAAACTGGGTTGCTCAAAGTTCCCGTTAGTGGGACAGCAGTACAACAATGGAAACACCTAGCATCTGGCATACCGAGCGAGGATTGATTTTGAACAACCCAGCGAGTCGTGCGCTGAAAAGCGTGCGCGGGGAATGAAGCAAGAAGCTCATCGCTGCTTGCCTCGAGCCACGTCATGTTGGCATGGCTAAACTCGGTTGGGCGCCAGCTGGCTTCAGACATGCCAGCGCAGGTCGAATTATTGCATTGTACGGCTTGCCTTGAAAGACGTGGCTTGAGTCCAGGCCAGGGCCAAGAGGGATTCAACAAGTTAACGCAAAATTGGGTGGTGAGGCATGCTTTCTGTTCGCTTTCCATGCTTCCGGTTCAAGGGTAATGGGACTGATTCAGCGTCAGTTTTGGGTAGGGTTAGGCCGTGTGGCTTAAACGTACCAAGTTTCGGTTTATTCAGGGAGGCTGCGGGCCTGTTGAGGGTTGGCTTCAGGGTTGGCTTAGACTTTCTTCGGGATAGGTATGTTGGTTTTATGGGTTCTCTTGCATCAAGAAAGCCCAAAGTCATCGAAAGCCTATCGAGGAGACGGGGTGGAACAGAAAGCGCCCCATCAGCTGTGGCCACCATTGTTCATCACTTGTTCCTTGAAATTTCGCCTTGAGAGGATGGAACCAGGGTCATGTTCATGACACTGCCACGTGCAACATGCCCAAGCAAATCAAGCTTTGCCCAGAAAAACAAAAACAAAGGTACGGGCTACGCTTACGCGTACTTTGCTGCAAACTCATGTGCGTTTAACCACAAGCTGCATCTATAGATTCTACAGGCTCAGTTCAGGACGGGAGAATGACTCAGGCCACGAAAGCTTCACCAGTGAAACAGCAGCTCGGCCATGTAGAAGGAGAGAACGGCCAGCATGGCAACAACCTGAGCAAGGTATCACCTTTCTGAAACCATGAGTGCAAGGCTTCCGCGTCGGATCTGTTCGTCATTCCCAAGAGAACCTTCTGTAAACAAAAACAGAAGTCGGAGGCCCACAAAAACGCTCGAAAAAAGAAGTCAGACATAGACATAAACAAAGACACAACCAGAAACAAAGATATGCCTACACAATAGCCACACATGTATGCGCGCACACACACGCACATACACTCAGACACGCACGGCCTCAAGCACCATAGCATTCAAGGCAAGCACACGTCTAAGTACAAGTGGTGCTTGAATTGCTGAAAAGCAAGGCCTGCTTGCTCGCTTGGAGCTACTGCAAGGGAAACCTGCCTTCTGGCATCTGAGCGGCGTTGCTGCCTTCCGCGATGATCCACAACACATGCGGAATCCTTCTACTTTCCAATCACCAATGCGCAGCCGCGATGCCTCAAGAGCCCTACAAGGGTCCTAATGATGTTTGGTCAAGGGCAGACGTGCTCCACATTGAGGACCTGGGGCTCTTGATATGCTGCGTGCTCCACAACCAAAATGTATCCGTGAAACTGCATTGAGATTCAGGCTTTCCCATGTTCATGTGCAACCAAACCGTGGCTGATTTATGATTCTCAAAATCAACGCTCGAAACAATCCCCGAAATCGCTGGCATGCGGCATTGATGCCAATGACCGTGACGGCGACGTAATCTTCGCCTGACCGAGCTGCAGGCTGCTGGGACCCATGGGACCTTGCATATTCCGATTCCAGGTACCAAGTTGCTTTCCTGCAGGTTTGTGTGGGGTTCCAGTTGCTTGCAGCGGCCTGGACATTTTGCCATGCTGTTGTGCGTGTTTTTGCATTCCCTGCACGGCAAGCATGTTTTAATATGAAATCCGCCGACCCTCTCCCTCCCAACCTAGCCTCTTGCAGAGGGGACCGGCGTGGGGCAACTGGAATGAAGTGATTGGAATCCTCTTGTTTCTTCTCCCTGACCAGTAGTCTGGGCTCATAGTCTAGTTTCGGAGGGCATGCAGTTGCCACCTGGAAGAAAAACACAGGCAACGCCCCTCTAACGTCGGCTGCAGACTAGCTAACTACTGATCGCTTGCGGTTTTGCATCACCAGCCCGGGCTTGCGGTTTTGCTTGCCCGCGGGAACCGCAGGGCTTAGGCCGTCTGACGTCATCAAAGTCTGGGGTTGGGCCTGGGTGATGCTTCAGCGGGGCTTGGTCCCTGGTCTGCATCATCGAGACTTCCTTCCAAAAAGCCTCTCAACCCATGAAGCACTGTTTTGAGAAGGTACCGAAGAAACATAAGCAAGGCTCATTTTTGCTGCCGGGCATGCCGGCGATGCTGGGCAAAACGCCGTAAATGCCGTCAAAAAATGCTATGCTGCGCGTTGGGCTGATGTTCTGATTGTTTTGCTTCTGCTGCGGCTGGCTCGTGTGCTGCGCAGTCCTTGTTTTTTTTCCACCTGGTTTTTGGGCCTTGTGGCGCGCGCGCGCGCGCCCCCGGCCACAAAACACTGCTATTTGCAGTGATTTGTTGCGTTTGCGTTTCCGGGCTGGCTTGTGAGCTGTTCTTTTTCGGCTGGTCGTTCTGGGGCCTCTGGCGCGCGCGCGCGACCCCATGTGATTTGACTCGGTTGGGGCCCTGCTGGGGCCCAGAAAGCTGGCATCCCAGCAGCATCTGGGATATGTTGATGGCTGGAGTGGGCAAAATGCATAATCTAACCAGACATATCATGGCATAGGATACGTTTCACACACAATAAAATGACATGCCATGGTATAAGCTTATTTTGCATCGCAGATCACTGTGCCTTCAAAGAGGCGTAGCCGGCTAGAGGTCGCAGGCCCAAAAGATAGAAAGCAGTTTGCTCTTTTGATTCTGTTTAAGCTAGTGGATGGACAGTCGCGCACGTCTTTCATTGGTTTTTGGGGCAAGACGGGCAAGGGTCGGGGCTCGGGTGCCTCCTGATCAAGGCCTGGTGCCCTGCGAATAGCCCACAACATTTCTCAGGAAAAGGTACCGCCTTGCGGCTGCTTATTGACCAGCACTCTACAGCCAGACGCAGCCCCATGCTTACCTTCCTTCTCTTTGCCTTTTTCAAGCGGCTAGCTTCCAGGGCTATGAGGCGATCTCTGGCATCCCAATTCCCGAACCCGGGAGTTCGCTCAAGCGGACTGCCATGCCGACAGGCACAGATATAGAGACTCGACCGACGCCGACACAGACATCGACACACAAAGACACACACAAACACAGAGACAAAATAGACACAGAGACACATAAAGAGCGACAGACAAAATAAGAGGGAGAGAAAGACAGACGGGGAGAATGAGACCCGTAGAGACGTACAAACCGTTTTCTTCCCTTAATCAAGTGAGCCGAAAAAAAGAAGAAACAAAACATGTGGTTCATGGCCAAACCTTGTGGTCTCCTTCACGCAAGGTAGTATCGGCAGTCGGGGGGACGGGGAAAGGGACAGTCTTTAATCGCAGGGGGGTTCTTAATCGTATGCTCGCACTATGTGTGCCTGTGACTTCCTGCAAATCAGGGCGGCAGCGCATTCGATGTCCCACCCGCCGAACTGTTTAATCGCTGCCGATCTCAAAACTGCCCAGCAAGCCAAATCTTGTGAAACAACCCTTCAGTTTGAAGGGAACACATGTCTGTTGCCTTGCACACATTGGTATGCGGCGAAGAATGGACACAATCATTGGCTCATCTTGCAACAAATACCTCCCTAAAACCAGCCGGGGGTTCCTTGATCATGATATATTCCGGCATCTGTATTAAGCAACGTATATTCAGAGGCCCAACAGACTTGCATTCCAATTTATACGGGTGTATATATATATATATATGTATGTCATATATAAATTATGCGGCCAAACCCTTCCAACCCCCCCCCCTTCCCTCGGGTGTCCGCACCATGGCCAGCAAGGATGTCCTCCACGTCGTTCTTGAGCTGCATCACCAGTAAGGCAATCTTGGCAGGCCAGCTCAGTGGAACAACAGCAACATCTCAACTCGAGACGCTGATGCCGGGTTTCAACTTGCCGCTAAGGGAGCAGTCCTATTTCTTGAGACCAAAGCGCAAAATCGCTTCGGCGGACTAAGCCAACCTTGCGCGAATCCAATAGATTTGGCGAAAGCCTGCTGACCACACAACAAAACAAGGTCCATCTTTGTTTCCAACACCTTGAACGAACACGGTGCGAACACTGAAGCAACACACACACACACACAAAGGGCCCTACGCAGCGTCGAAGCAGTTGCCTTGTGTTCAAAAAGCGAGCATTGCACTGAATTAATCAATCCACACGTAAACAGTAAGTGCCACACAAGGGCATGTCACCTATCTAATGCTTCCGGATCTTTTCCTTTGTTGATGACATGACGGAGGAAATGGAGGAAGCTATCCATGCCATCATCTCTCTAATCCTTTCCTACCGTCTAACCTAGATGGGACAATGAAAGGCAGCAAATGATCAAGGATTAGGAGAATGAAGGCATCTATCCTAGACACATTCTATCTTCTCTAATTCACTTTCTCTTGGTCATGTCCTTTCCCTTTCTTTACAATTATAATTCAGAATTTATGATCATTTATTATTTACCTTTCTATTTCTAAGCTTATAAACAAAGCAAATAATTCTAAGATGAAGATAATAAATTAAGATGAAGAAAGCACGAGATGAAAGGAAAGGCATTCAAGGATTTATCATCTGTCATCTCATGCCTTGAATATTCCTCCAGCACAAAATGCGCCAACAAACCTGACGGAAGGTCAGTGGAACGGGCCCTTCCAAAAATCCACCATTGCAAACATGTTCCCAATCGTTGGCTCAATGTGTTGCCCCTGAAGAGGGCCCCAAGAACGCACTCAGGGCTTAGCTGATTGAACAACCTCCAACTCGGGCTCGGGAAAGAAGCCTTCATGGGTGAGGGCTTGTGGCGGTAAGATCCCCATTCGGTCCGCCCAGCAACACACCCAAGCAACGGACCATTCGGATCCCTGAACCGCCAAACTGCCTCATGGTGGCAACTAACCCTGTCTAAATGAGCATGAGTCTTGCGGAGCGGTTGCACAACCTGGCATTCGTAATGAAACGAGAGGCCGCACCGATGCACATCAGGACGCTGATGGTGATCCAGGTGAGCCACCAGCACTGGAAGCTCTGGCATTTCCTAACAGAAAATCCAGCTGAAATCACCCAGGATAGCTGAAAACCGGGGTACCCCAAGAGTTGCAATAACAACAACATCCTTTCTGTGTTGAGAGCCAAACATAAGGTCGCAAAACAAAAGTGTGAGCTTCTCCCACCAAGATGCTACTCCTAAAGACTGCAAACAGCGAACCCCCCCAATGTAGCTGATATATTGTCCGAAACGGTAACATTCCTACTTTGGGTTGCATGACAACACCCATTGAGATACCTGTGCGGCCAGTAAGTCTACTACGAAGTCAGTTCAACAATAATCCATCAAAACAAGCATTGAGACCTGCAATGCTCTACAGTTGTTTTTGAAAAACCTGCCAAGTCTTCACAGCATACAGCTGCAATCTATTAGCAAATCTTGTAATATGTCCAAAACCTGAAATAAGGGATTCCCAAGTGAAGGATCTTTACCATGGCGAGCTCGCCATAAATCATGCAGAATCTCTTGCAACCCAAGTTGGCTGGTCTATATGTCTCTTTTAACTCTATGGATAAGGGGGAGCCCTATTGAGCTGCAAAATGAAGACCTTGAGAACCATCTCCAGGAATTAATTGCCTGAAAAAATATGGCTAGGAAATTAAGTTGCACGCCAAACCAATACATTGTTGAGGCCAACTCGGTACTTGGCTGGCATGAATCATCAAATGCTGAAGTGGAACCACGGAAGGTGGCTTGACAATCTAGTAAACAGAATGATTTCGCACGCGCCTCGTGAATCCTGTGGGTATGGGTCAAAATTAAACCACCAGGGGACCGCAGGTTTTAGTCCATGTTTCCATTTACCAGGGTTCCATTTTGGGTACATATTTTTGACCCACAGTCATGGGGAAGTGAAGGATCGCAAGAATTCGCCAAGCTCTCAAACAGGGCGTGCAGCCACGGAGTTGAGCCCGGGTCAACATGACAAGACATTAACGAGCCTTCATCAGGCTTTCACAGGTTTCCCACAGACTTTGGCAAGTCAGATTTGCGCAAACTGTGATGCAACCTCAACCGATCTGAACTGAATGTACTCGAATCGTCTTGAAGGATCAATTGTAGGGGCTTCCATGTTGATGATGACTTGGGAAGTACTCGCCTCCATTCAAAGCGAAGTTCAAAAGCGAACCTGCCTGTTGGCCAATTTAAAAGAGGGACTTGATCTTCCAAGACTGTCGAAGTCCACGCCGCCACAACACCACAAGCATCTCTTCAGTACCTAATCCTTTCACGAGTTCTTGGACTCTTGTTTGACCATGTCATTTGCCGCATGTCAAGCGCCACAACCGAGTGTCGCGTCCCTTGCCACCAGCTTGTTGTCCAGAAGAA